AGTTATGTGTATTTGTGTGTATGTGTTGCTGTTGGTATCAGAAAATTGGGGGGTTTTCTAGGAGTATAAAAGTGTTCTTGGAAAAAAGAGGGTTTTTTATTTCGTTGTTATCATTTGTTAAGCAAGCTTTCTTAAATGACTGTAGTTTTACTCACAAAATGAACTTGAAGAAACGGAGGAAATTTTTTGTTTTTGATTTTTTCCTCGGTAACGCGGGCATTTAATACTTCATATCGTCTTTCTCAAAACCCGTATAGAATCACCTCTTCATCTATTATTTAGCATGTGATGTTTTATTTTTTATTTTCTTGTTTTTGTAGATCTGAAAATTAATACCGACTTACATACAATACAGCGCAACAGTTTTTTGCATGTTAGATATTCTTGACCTATTTTATACTTATGTTATTGCTTCTATTTATTCAAGGAGATCTGTTATCATTGTGTTATATGTTATGATCTATTTGTAGCGTGTTTATTATTCACTGCGTGCAGTTGTTTCTAGTTTTTTCGGAAAGTCTTCCTCACAATAATGATGTGTATACTGAATTTTGTATCCAGATTTCCTTGGTTAAATTTTTTTTTGTCAATTCTTTCGCATAATATACACTTGCTATTGGTGCTTTTTTTTTTTTGTTGAATTACTAACGTGTTGTATTTCCTCTATTTCAGTTTGTTGCAGAGTTCATTATATGAGATGTTTTCCGATTCTCAGTCTTTTTTTTTCTGTACTTTTGTTCGGTATCCTAGGAAAAGGAAACAAAAACAAAGAAAGAAAAAGGAAACGTTGTTTGTGTATAGTTATGTAATTTATATCTTCTACTCATTTATCTTTCGCGAAATTTTTTTCTTGTTTTTTGCTTATCAATTTTTTATTTCCGAAAAGAAGATGCCTTATTTTTTTGGCTGCAGATGTACTTGTGCAGTTGGAATTTTGCTCACGAATGTGCCGTTAGTTTATACTTGCTTTGCGTTTTTCTTGGATGTGCCTTGTGATTTTGATTATCAATTTTCTCCCTTCAACATTTTTTTTTTGTTCAGAGCCTTACTAGTTATAGTAAAAAATTGAAAAGACTTGTTGGAAACTTATAGAACTGGTTGTTAGTACATCGAATGTTTGAAAGAGCTAGTCGTTTTTTAATGGATTAGAGGGTGGTACATATACAGATACCGTCGACTCTTCAAAATTTACGCGATCTGAAAAGAATAGCTATGGCATCAAATACAGTGCTAAGACAGTGTAGAAGTAATTGTTATGTAAACATAAAGAAAGGTTGTGTCCGGGATTAGTGATTTTCTTCGCAAATAGAGATTTTTTAGAGATATCAAAAAAAACAAGTGTCAATGAAGTTTACCGTTGTAGTCTTTGAATAGTCTACTACTTACGGATCTTTTATCCTGTTAATTCAAACTTGCTGTAGTTTAAGGTGTCTTAATGGATACGTGGATATAGGGTTGGCATTTTATTCCAGTCGTTTTGAAATTACAGACTAATGTGAAATACAGTTTTTTTTTTTTTTTTTTTTTTGGGGGGGGGGGGGCGGCTATGTGGGTGCAGACAAAAGTATACCAATTTCAAACTGATGACCAGGTGAACTTCCGCCTACAGGCAAGAATCTGTACTCTTCAAAATTCACCAGGAACAGCAAAGAGATCAAAACATTGAGCATGGGCAGTCTTTTTTCCGGATCGTCATCTTATTTTTTTCTGGAGGATTTGGTGGCAGTATTCCTACGGACAGATTTTTGCGGAGAATGCATGAGCCAAAAACACACTTTAAATAACACTAGCGACTGATGCTAAGGAGCTACACAAAACCAAAAAAATGTGGAATGCAGTCACTAGAGGTGCGCTGAGGATTAATTGTTGCAGCTTTAGCGCGCAACTTGGCCGGAAGTTTTGCGCTCAAAATCTTAGTCAGAAAGAATACGGATTAATGCGGTGCAGTGTTTCCATGTTCCCTGCTTTAATTTAAAGGTTGTTAAATATCAGTCTTTACTGTTTTGATTGAAATGCCTCAGTAAAGTTGGGGAAGTGGAGGAAAGCTGAGGAAAGTTGCAGTGTAGAAGTACAGCTAACAGGACAAGAAAAGTTTTTGAAAAAGCTGTATCAGAGATAAGGTTAAGGTTTTCGGGCTACAATGTAGAGGTTAGCACGTTTGCAAGGGTAGCGGTTAATATGCGTAACATAACCCTCCTGCGTTCATTCTAGTTTCAATCTTATGTTAAAATTTGAATTCATGGGCAAGTAGTCACTGCTCGTTCCTTGCCACTGCAGGGACGCTTCTGGTTTTTGAGCAGTAAACCAAAATCGCTGTTTTCCGTTATCAGTCAGCGTTTGCTTTCTGAAACAAAAACATCTTTTTTTTGACTTCTGATCGTAGTAAATAAATAATTTGAATTATTTGCTGCTTAGTTTCTAAGAGCCAAAAGTATATAAACTGTGTAACATTGCTTGATTCAGTATATTCATCTAATTTTAAAAAGGTTTCACTGAATTTATACTCGTCTTCAGCAAAGCAGTATTTTTTGGACATCGAGTGTGCTATCTGTCGTACACAAGTGATTGTTGTAACAAATGAGGTGTATATCAAGATAACTTTTGTTTGAGAGATGCAGTGTAGGCACGTGCCATAATAAATCTAAGTTTGAGGGACAGTGTCATTGAAATTTTCTTTAGTAGGAAAACGGGTAAGGAGTTTGGTTTCAGTTGCAGTCAGTGGGTAATAGAATTGAGAGGAAGACTGGTTATGGTTGAAGCTACGCGCTATTATGGTCCAGAAAAGATTTCCCGTACGAAGTCGTTCGTAATTTTGTGCAAGTTTATCCCACCTAGTGGCGTCTACGAATTGCAATAAAAATATCCCCTGTTGAATTTCTCTACAGTATTACTGCTCAAAAAAACATTTCAACTCTTGACTTCTAAATGGTGGCAAGCCAGTAAAATCGGAATTTTGAATGTTTTTAAAACAAAGCCCGACTTAAAGCCAATAATTTTTACGAGAAAACTTAAGTTTTAATATTAACAAGTAAAAACTTTGAAACATTCAGTGTTATAGGACCGCACCAGATTTCTAACAGGAAATATTCTACAATTATTATACTGATGAAAACTAAGCTGGTAATTGTTTGAGAATAATCAACGTTCAAAAATATTCATTCTTCCTCACATTTTGCGCTTTTCACGTCTCTTATCACATGCTTTTAAATTTCGCAAATTACTCTAAAGCCATAAATTTTTTTGTTGCTTTGTGTAGCGCCAATATTTTACAACTTTATTTCCACGATGACGGGCAAGAATGATATAGCAAAGTTGAAAATAAGCATTAAAAAAAAAAACTAGTAAAAAACTAGGCTTCCAAGAAAGAGTGTAACAGAAACAATCTGTCATCCGCCGATACCAAAATCATGGCCACCGATGGTGGATTTTGCCTGGACATAAGATAGTAGTTCTTCCCTGTTTCGCCCGTAAAGTTAAAATTTCTGCAGTTCTTATCCACCCTTGACACCATTAACGTGTCGTCATTGTGCGCTTCTCAAAGGGAGCATGTAAGTGGGTAAAAAACTAGAAGACTGAAATTGAAAGCTCATGTTTTTCATAACGTTCAGTTTATAACTTTTCAATCTGAAAAAATTAAATAAATTTTTTCTCACAATCTACGACATCACTGTGTTTCTACATGGTCATTTTTTTGGCATATTTGCTATAGAATGAAAATGTCGTAACAGAAAAAAGACAGAACAATGCTGTACCACTGTTCTATCATTTCTTAGGCGTCATCGATCGGTTGACAGCAAACAACATTCTTGAAGGCTGAGATCTGGCTACAAAGAGAAGAGCTAAGAGGAAGTAGAAATTATTGGATATTGTGCCTTCTGGCCGGATGTGCTAATTATTGACAGTGATAAAGAACTGCTGGGAGGTGTTACTTCAGAACGGTTTGGTACGGACTAACCGGCAATTTTACCTTCATATTTTCCATCCTGGCCCTATTGATTAAAGACAGCGCCTGAATCATCCTAAGTTAGAGGGAAGAGACAACGAAGAAATGTTTTTGTTTATGCATGCTTTATACCTTCCACCTTAGCATGACTTTCTTTTCCAAGCAGCTGAAATTCTCATACAAGTCCTTACTTTTACTAAATCTCATTAAATCAAAAACCTCTTGACTTTGGTTTTCATCATACAGTCCAAAAAAGAGTAGTGTTTTTGCTAGAGCGCTTCATGGCAAAAGATGGAAAACACTTGTGACAATATGCTTTCTGAAAAGCTTTTCTCTGCACCCTGACCCCCACATACCTTCGCATAACACTTAGTTTCTAATGCGCTGAAGTTTTCCAAGCAGCCCCTTTTGGCTGTTTTATCAACAAAGTCGCAGTCGTTTCAACAAACTTCCCACTCTAATCAGTCTATGAAAAGGCTCACCATTTCAGGTCCATTAGTACAACCTATCGACTAGTAGCTTTTTACAGAACCAGCGGTAATTGTACCTCTAAAAGCACAGCCACGTCCATATGGCTCGCAATGATACTTCTGTTGATGATTATTTCCCAATTTGACAAACTGAAGTGTCCACTACAGCTATCTCTGACGCCCTGAGAACTCGATGTTACCAAAACTGTGTAAAAGCGGAGGGAAGAATGGCACGCAGAGCTGCGAAGCTCAAGATCCCCTAATTCGACTACTCTCCCGCGAACTGCACTTCAATGGGGGGACAAGTCTTCCAAAAAAACTCTCCTGCTGCATGAACCGGAAGTCTGATTCCCTAAAACATCCACGTTTTGAATTCCTAACAACTCCACTAGTGCCAGAATTGACCACAAACTACTCAACTGCAGAGATCTATACTGGCGCGTCTCTATGACATAATGTCACCTCGGCGGGAAACTGCAACTTGCCCTTGAAATGATCCACTACGACTTCCGCGTCCACACACTAGACCTTCTTGACCGAGTAAAAAGAATACAAGAAAAAAAAACAAGAACACAAGAAAAACACTTTGCAACTCGTGAAATATGCTGCGCACGGAAATAGAAAGACTCCAGGTCACAGAAAAATTTTATTGCTCGATGAATAAAAGCATCATTGAGTACATCACACAGTGTGTACAAACAGCGAAAAGAACACAGGATCCCAAAAAAGATAAACAGGAAACAAAATTGAATGTAAAGGTATCATATGGTCATAATATGAGAGTCTGACATTGTTTTGTTGAGATTACTGAGCAAGAACAACACAAGAAACGCTTATGCAAACATACGCGTGACTTCATTCAGCAAGTCTGCATGAAGCAATGCCAAATGCGTCTCATTTTCACTCTACCTGGGGACTCTTAGCAAGCTTAGATCTTTGTTCAGCAGCTGCTTTAAACAGTCGTTCGCGCTCACTTAAGCTTTTTTCAGTATGTGGATGTTGTTCCTCCTCCAAGTGGTTTTTCAGTTCTTTCACTTGCTCTTCTTGCTATAAAGAACCGTTAAATGACAACAGTTAGCTGCATATATCTACTAAAAGACTACAAAAAGAATATGTCAAAAGCCGAACACTAAAGCCAAATAAGTAGCAAAATGAGTTTAGCTGAAGACAGTTTCAACAGTAGCAGAATTTGTCATCACCGTAAGGGCATCAGACTCGCTCTCTTTACATCTTTTTGCACTAACAGATTGCTTTTTCTCAATGCCCTCAATGGTTACCGTAATCATTACCGTATTAAATCGGACAGAGGACTCTTGAAGTTTATTTCTTCACGAACGCCCAAATAAGACATTTAGAATCACGGCCATCCAACTTATGAAAGAATGACAAACAAAAAATGTAAACTACTCGCACTGGAAACTACAGAAAACTGTTACCAACTTTTTCAGTGAAACACTCTATATCGCCATGCAATAAGAGCACAAAAACTACATTACGTTTTACAACAAATGATAAGACTTTTTATTCTGAACCAAAATAACTACGTACTTTCCCTGCAGAACTGCTTGCAGAGTCGTCAATCTTATTTTGAAAGTAACAAACTAATCTTTTGCCTGTCTAGAATATCAAATTCCAAATAAAAACCGAAAAACAGAAACTCATAGTTTAAAATTTGCGACATCTTTGGTATCTCACCCCCTCACACCACCAAAACAAGGTCCATTCCACTGAATAAAAAATTGAACCTGACAGCAGCGGGTTTCCGAACCGTCCTTTATGAAGTACGTCTAAGCCGCTAAAATTAATTTAATTATCACAAATGCTTCTTTTTCCTCCAAATTAATATGTCCAAGTTAAAATTGAGGCGATCACATTCCATAACTCCCTGAACGTAGCAATTTACACGTTGGTTTTTTACTGTTAGCAAAATATAAGCCTTGCACCTTCTTACTCCAAAAAACTTGAAGTCGAAGATAAGAAGGGGAAGCTTAAAAACTGTTCAACAAAACATCCAAAACCAGGAAAAAAAACAGAACTCAAGCTGAAATGTTAATAATGCTCCAACTACTTCTAATTTGCGTAACGGAACAATCAAAATACATGCATGAACCCACTACTGCCTCAGGAAATTTAACTGCTAACTTAAAAAACTTTACAACATACCTTGATACGATAGTATCGCTAGATGCGAATAATGACAAGACCACGATGAATTAAAATGCTAACGAACCACATTCCACAAAAATAAAATTCCTTGACAACTTAGCAATTATTAAAAATAAACAGCTCTGTACGAGAAAACTTGAAAAAACAACTGTTCGTCCAGCACAAAGAACACTGCTTAATAAAACTGATAAGAGCGAGCTTTCCGTTCACTACAGCGACCTCCTCGAGCTGCAGTTTGGTATGCATCAACCCAACTCACCTATTCCTCAAAAATATGCTTGATTTTGCATAAACTCATTCCAAAAAAAACGTCCGGAGGTTCAAACAAACAACTCCACACAAATAAGCGGCCAGCTCTAATAAAAAATCAATTTCAAGACTTACCTTCACAGGCTAACATAACCCGCTCTACTTTATTTCAGCGACACAATCAAGAAACTGTATAATGCATGAAACAAAACCATACAGCACTTTAACGTAAAGAAAACGAAAAAACACATACTCCGCTTCTAAAATTCAATAAAAAACATACAAGATGGAAGAAATATTCGCCTTCACGAGCAGCCTCAAGTCTCCCAAATGCTCCGCCAGCATTCCGAATAGTACCTCCACACCCGCCACTCTAAAAAATTAATACTTCTGAGAGCAGGTTAAACTAATTTAAAATAACACAGACAACCCCATGTCTACCAATGCCTCCACACCAAAAACAAAAGAAATCAAAAATATCTTCACATCAGATAAATCAATGGACCTTCACCTTGATTGCTGACCCAGCACCCAGATGTCACAAATTCACAAATCTTCTCGATCAAAACCGCAGTTTCCGATCACCCACCCAAATGAAAAATAAACTTAAATTAAAAACGCCCAACAGAATGTTAAAAGTAACAGCTGCTATCCTGATCCTAATTTGAGTGTCTGCACTACATTTCTAAAGTTAGCAATGAAAAATCAATGCGATACAAACAAACGAAGAAAAAAAATACCACATTCTGCATAAAACTTTTCAAATTTCTGAATAATTAGGATTTTCAAATTAACACTTCCACCTTATTGTACAGAAAAACTATTACTACACTTTAACAACATTTAATAAACAACAGTCAGCAAGAGATAGAATTACTACCCAGTGATCTTCTCCAAATAATTGCGTTGAGCCAACCCAGTTAAAAAAAGGCTGAATAAGCCTATGAACAAAGAGGAGACTTCCTGCTTACTATACTCGATAATCTACACTTCTACCTTATCTCGCAATTAAATTAGTTCCAAGCGGTGAACAATAATAACATTAAAAGAAATAATGCCGAGACGCCTCTCTGACCCAAGTGTAATAACCGTCGTTCTATTCATGGAAACTGCTCACAACGTCAACAGCGTCACTCCTTTTCCCACAACTGATCACATTCAGATCAATTTTTGATTTTTCTCTCAATTACCATGTCAAACAAGTCCAAAAAAGTTTGCATGGAAAAACTTGTACGATGAAATCTGGAGATTCTGTTCAGGTCGCTACTCAAAAAAATATGCGGAAATCGCCTTTAAAAAGTACTACAACTTTCATATCGTTAATCATCACTTGACAAAGACCTGTTCTCAAATTGATTTTGCACAAACTGTTGAAAGCGTTCTCCCACTCAGTACTTTCTTTCATTGTCACACAAAAATCCAATATAATATAATACGACATACTTTCC